GAAAGGTGGATAACCTTTACAAAAAGGTGGATGAGAAAGGTGGATGACCTTTACAGAAAGGTGGATGACCTTCATTGAAGATCCACCATCCACCCGTCCACCTTCCTGCCGGCTACAACCGATTTCCACTGGTTTGATCCTATACTGTACATGGCTCAAAGCTATACAAACTGGAACACGGAACACGAGCGCAGCGGATCTCAGCGCCACCGACAACTCCGCGGGGGCCGGGATGGAGGGACTGATCAGTGAGGACGAGGAGAACCTCCCCTCCACCATTTCCAGCTAATCTTCACCTGTGTTAAGCGGTAGTTTTTCTTATTTGTTGCAGTTGTCATGATGACGCCTGCCCGTCGACGCGCTGCAGGAACTCGGAGGCGGCCTTGACCATCCCGCTGACCAGCCCCGCCTTCCTCCCTAACACCTTGGCTTCCGCCGTGTTCTCGGCGTCCTGCTGCTGTCGGGCCAGGAAGAGGTAGACCTCGCCCAGCTCCGCCGCGAAAGCACTGCGGCCGACGTCCTCGTTGCCTTTGACGACCACCTCCTCGCAGGCGGCGATGTAGCGCTGGGACGCGATCTTCGCCCTTAAAGGCTCCCTCCGGCTTAAGACTTTGCCTAGTTCTGATGGCGCCGTTCTCTTTGTCGCCGCTCTGTTACGCCTGCCAATTATACAGTTAGGATTGCTTAGGATAAACGGAGGGTTAAACAGTATCTTATGTAGAAGTCAGGTGTCCCGGCGAAACTTGAGCCGCGCGGTACCCCTCATACAACGGACGGCTGCACGACATTTGCTTGGAAGCACGGATTGTGTCTCGCATGGGACGTAACTTGCGTAGCTACGGTCGCACCGTCGCATGTTAAAGCCACTTCCGCTACCGCGGGTGGGCCGCTGTGCAAGCAGAGGAAAAGAAATCCAGATTGTACTCCTGTTTGGTCGGCCGCTACCTTTTCGTTCCATCGCTTTCGAGACAGTGGGCACGTGGGGTCCGTCGGCGATCGCAATCGTTAAAGAACTGGGAAGAATACAACAACACACCGGAGAACGTTCGCATGAATTTCTATGTTAACGCTTGTCTATAGAAATTCAACGGGGAAAGCGGCGTCCGTGCTGGGCGCGATGGAAGGGCTGCACAAACTAAATGAAATTTTTCTGTTGTAATTTGTGTGCTTTTCTAATAATTTTGTACTGCATTTTGATTTGACCAATAAGGACGAGAGCTTAGGATTGATTTTGGGATATTCATTTGATTTACACGGTTTACCACATAATATCATTAATATGTACTTTTGAATTTCATATAAATAAAAAGACAGTTTCATAAATCGATTTATTGTGTACTTTCACGACATCCAAACTTGCCAAAACAGCAGATACAAACTTGTCAAATTAGCAGGTACTCTAGTACGACATTAGCATGGACTTAGTTTTATATGTAGTTTTATCCGTTACTGATTTTTTAGCATGTATCGTATAAACCTAACCAAGCCGCTACTTAACTCAATTTGCAAACCAGCAAAGTATTTTATCCCACATGCTCAACATTCACTCCAATCCAGAGTAGAACGAAATACCGTACTTTTTCATACCATTAAAGTGCATTCAATAGCACGGTTAGCACCGAAGGTAGACCAAAAAGAAGCAAGAGTTCCCTCTCGTATAAAAAAAGTCAACCAGCAGTCAGCACTTTGCTGACAAGATCCACCAGTTACACTAAGTGCAGATACGCTTCCTGCACAATCCACTCGTCGAGGCGATCATTGATGCGGAACCAGCATTCATAGCGTCCGGCATGTTCCCGATCTACGCGGTCAATCTTAATGGTCGAATTGCACGAACAATGGTCCTGCATGCCAGATTGAAAGCGTCCCTTGAAATCTGCGACGTGGCTATCGAAGTCCCTGATGGATTGCGCGTACAGCAACTGTTGTCCCTTGCGCCACAGGAACCGGTCGGACAGGTAGCCGGGGAGTGCATGAAAGCGCACCATGCACACCATCTCCGCGGGGTCGCCGAGGCGGACGCTGACGTTGTTCATGGGCGGCGTGAAGACTTCATTGCCGAAGAGCTGCGGAGTAACCCAATAGCGCTGCGTTACCACCAGCTGCTGCCCGTCGGAAAGCAGGCACTCTTACAGCCCGACGTGGGCGTGCGAGAAGTCCAGGAGACGAATGGAGAACGCGCCGGTGGCCAGGTCGTACGCGGGCACCGACAGATTATTCCAGACAATCGAATTCAGTGGATCGTATTTTCTCGCGCAGTTGCAGCAGTAGTATTTCATTCCGGATAGGTCCCTGATTTTGTCGGCCGTTGGGACAGAAATGTGACGACCGTTAACCGTAAACGCAGGAGGAATCTTTGCGTGGGAAACGTGCACAAATGCGCCATGTATGTACATGTGCATTAATTCTTATGCTTCGCAGTTCGAGCCCGAATGCATGTAGCACACCACAAATCTCACAGCTGAAGGCCACCAAACTACATTTTTACCAGATGTTTTTGTCACTGTGTTGCATCATTTTGGCATTTATAATTTTACGGCTTGGAATATCTATAAAAAATGCAGAATTATTTTTATATTCATAATAATTAATAAGCATTATTCGTAACTGCTTTGTAGCCGCTCCAGGACCAGTCGATCATCGATCATCAGCTGTTATCTTCCCATGCACATACCTGCGAGTTGTTCTGATTGTGCCGATTGTCGCAGGGAACCAGCAGGGTGCCGCCTTCGGGCGCTCGAAAAATCTCGGTAAACGGCGGCAATTCCGCTGGAGGATATCGGTCAGACTTGGCAGGGCGACCGTAACCGTTCAGATGGAGGGTTCCGTTGTCACTGCGGTGTTTGGCTTCGTCCAAGATCTGGTTGACTACATCAAACAATTATGATTGATATGCAATAAGTTGACCACCCGGCAAAACTTGGAAACACTCGCTCGCTCCCTTATGCAGCACAATAAATACAGAATCCATTTATTCCATTATGAACTAGCGCTTTGAAAACGCATCTGTAATACTAATTGCACCCGACGATGCGGCAAATTATTCCCTCCGAAAAAATTTTTAATAGCAAGGGAAGTGAATAAAGTACAAAAATGGCTGCCTTAATACGGCGCAAACATGTGGCATCGACACGCAGTTGGGCCACTGATCGTGCCCCGCCAACATTTCAAGGAAGAAAATCCTCGTACAACACTTGCGCAGCTAAATATTTAGTTAATACTTAAAATTACTTCAGAAGAGAGCATCCTGAATTGTAAATAAGCATGTACAGAGGCCGCGGAGAGGCCTTATTATGTTTACTTAAGCTATTTCGGTAGTTATCCGCATACCAACACGCAGAGAATTTTGTTTCTATACAGTTCAGAAAGCAACTTATCCAGGATAACGTCAGCTGAGCAATGCAAGGGTTCTATCGAAAATGTCAAAATCTCAGCTGCTAACAATGCTAATAGAAGCCATGCTCAGCCATAGAAGCCATGCTATATTTCCTCTGCAAAATCCTGTACACATACGCCTTGTTCTCGAAGGCGTATGTGTAGAGGATATTTACCTACTTTTCTCGATGGTGAATTTGGGCCGTGTGCCGCAGGTACGATAAACAGGTAAGGAACAAGCTAGCACACAAACAATAACTGCAGTTACAAGAAGACGATCCATTCTCGGCAAGACCAAAGCAATAAAAATGATAAAAGAAGTGTAAAAAACAACAGGTGTAAAAATTTCGTGCGTAGACGTAACTGTCGTTGGACGTTAGTGATTGAACACACTCAACGCTTTCAGATTTCTCGTTATTTTATTACTTCAAACGTCGAGACGCAACTGTCAACTTGTGTCAAGCTACTCAGCTGCTATTGTAAGTACAGATACGAGCATTCGTGCTACCGGCTGCGAAACGTTGTAAGCGTAAGTGCAGACTGGAGATGTCAGCAGTGAGGTCGGCAGGTGGGCGGCGTTTAAGACCAGCTGATATCAACCGATTGGAGGAAATTTTACTACCACACGCATGTTGTCAGGAGCTGACTTCCGGACCCCGCCTTACGACGGCAATCGGAAAAAGCTGTCAGCTATCTTGTCGCTGGAGTGCTGCATCACCGGCAGGACTGCCGGCCGAGTGGCAACCGCCGGAGACGTTGCTTGAACTTGCTTGCCACGTCACCAACCTACAGAAATTTTGCAGCGTGCCAATAGGTGAAATACGCATGCGCAAAAATACGTAAACTGGGCGCATGTTAAACATCCTGTATTATCGTGGCCTCAGCCCCACTGTTCAGTGTCAGAATACTTCACACCTTTTTATCCAATCTATGTTGCTCTATACATGGAGGATTTTATGAAAATTTTCATGCGAATGTCGCAGTAGCAGACATAATATTTACCGAACGCGCGCTGCTCAAAAAGTGACAGAAAAAGCCCGTGACGCTACGGGACTACCCTGACCATATACGGTGAGTGACGACCACACCGGAAGTGCACCGGCAAGCGTCTTGTGTTTTCGCAGGCGTCTGCGGCTGTACGGTATACGATCAACGTTCTAAGATTCTTTTAGATTTTCTCCATCTCAATTTTTTGAATGGTTTTGCAACACGCTTTACCCTTCAAATGCAGGCATATTGTTTTAAAATGCGAATTTAAAACGCACCCCCCCCCCACCTCGTGTGATTACACGGTTAAACACATAATATTTATTTTTGAGTTTTATATAAGGAAAAAGATAGTCTTACAAAACGATCTACTGTGTACGTTTTCGATATTCAGACTTGTCAAAGCGGCAAAAAGTGTAGTACGAAATTAGCAATTACATATTATAATGGATTCACATACTGGTAGAGTGGTAGGTAGTTTAACTGCGCCGGTTAGTTGTAACAATAACTTAGTTTTATGCATTACTCTAATTATTTAGCACGCATAATTCACCCAACCAAGCTGCTACTTACCGGTAACTCAGTTTGCAAACTAAGTAGCACATTAAGTCCAACATGCTCAACTGACACACCCGTCTCCGATAGAACGAAAAAACACCGTACTTGTACAGTTGTACATGTCATCAAAGTGCATTCAACAGCGCCGAAGGTAGACCAAATGAAGTCAGAGTTCCTTCTCGTATAAAGAAAAAAGTCAACCAGCAGTCAGCAATTCGCTGACAAGATCCACCAGTTAAACTAAGTGCAGATACGCTTCCTGCACAATCCATTCGTCGAGACGATCGTCGGTGCGGAACCAGCAATCATAGCGTCCGGCATGTTCCCGACCTACGCGGACAATCTTCATAGTCGAATTGCACGAGCAGTGGTCATGCAAGCCGAACTGAAAGATCCCGCTGAAATGCGTGACTCTGCTGGCGAAGTCCTTGACGGATCGCGCGTAGAGCAGGTCGTGTCCCTTGCGCCATAGAAACCGGTCGCCCAGTAATCCAGGAAGCGCATGAAAGCGCACTACACACGCCATCTCCGCGGGGTCGCCGAGGCGGACACTGACGTTGTTCATGGGCGGCGTGAAGACTTCGTTGCGGGAGAGCTGCGGCGTGACCCAGTAGCGCTGCGTCACCACCAGCTGCTGCCCGTCGGAATGCAGGCACTCGTACAGCCCGGTGTAGGCGTGCGAGAACGCGGGTAGATGGATGGAGAACGCGCCGGTTGCCAGATCGTACTCTCGCACCGTCTTGTTCTCCCACCCAACGAGATCCAGAGGATCGTATTTTTTTCCGCAGTTGCAGATGTACATGGGCGCTCTCGGCACGTCTGGGCCGGCGATTTTGTCGACAGTTGGGATAGGGATGTGATATCCGTTTTTCGTAAACGCCGGCGGAATCTTGACGTGGGAAACCTGTGTGTAGTACCGACAGTTACTTTTAGTTAGCAGTTACTTTTAGTTAGCAAATCCTGCGAACGAGCGACAAGTCGTGTACCTATATGGGGGGCAATATGGCTATATCTGCTCAGATTCTGCTGTCAGTGAAACCATTCATATAAGTAGTTTATCATTATTATTAATGTTATTATACTACACTTACCATACCTGCGAGTTGTTCTGGTTGACGCGGTTGTCGCAGGGAATCACCACGGTGCCGCCTTCGGGCGCTCGAAAAATCTTGGTCGACGGCGGGAATTCCGCCGAAGGATATTCGTCAGGGTTCGCAGGGCTCCCGTATCCGTTCAGATGGAGGGTTCCGTTGTGGCTGCATTGTTTAGCTTCGTCCAGGATCTGATTGACTATGTAGAGGAAATAGTTGTAATTTATATGCAATGAACTGACCACCCGACACCTCGTTCGGCAGCTGATGCTCTCAACAGAACCGCACATAAATTTTACCAAAAAATGCCAAAATGTCAACTGTTAAATCACCTTGCGAGCACCCTTGTGTGACAGTTCGTTGCTGTGATGCAGTACAACACTTTCGTTTTACTGGAACTCCATAATAACGCTTTTACATGACGAATTCTACATCGAAATTTAGAGAAAGAAATTCAGTACATTTCATTATATATCTGACAGCCACAATCTTTCCGCACATCGTTATGACAAAAAAAATTAAGATTTCAGCCATGGAACCCCATGCTATATTCCTCTGAAATATTCTGTGCACATGCGCCCTAGTTTACCTACTTTTCTCGATAGTGAATTTCGGCCGTGTGCCGCAGGCACGATAAACGGGTAAGGAATAAGCTAGCACACAAACAATAGCTGCAGTTACAAGAAGACGATCCATTCTCGGCAGGATGAAAGCAATAAAATGATAAAATAGAGAAAATACAACCAGTGTGAAAATTTCGTGAGAAACCGTTCTTACTGTCGCAGGATGATAGTGATTATCGCATGGAGCGCTTCCAGGTTTCTCGTTATTTTCAATTTTCTACTGCAAATGTCAAGACGCAACTGTCAAGTGTCAAGAAGTTTCAACCGTCAGTTGATGATTCTCGCCGCGGGTGGCGCCCTGTGGCGGTTGGAGTCTAGTCATCGTCGGCAGTGTACAGATGAGTACTTTGTTTGTCTCCTTTCCTACTCTTTACGTCCGTGCTTTAATACGACGCAACACTAACACCTGACTTCCGCCTAGGTACGCACTACTGACGGAGCCCCGCACCCTGCACAGTGACACAAAAGCAGTTAAAGGTTTCTTAAATGGTTTAACGTCCGCACACAGTCTGGGTTAAACCTAATTCCAGGCAGCAGACACGTCAATGACGTCATAGGAAGAATCAGGATCCAGACTATGAAATTATCACGTTAATCACATTGCACGATGTTCCATCGCAGCTGCGGATCGGAGGCTGCCTACCGCTTAAGTTGCTAGAATTGCTTAAGTTGCTTACCGAGTAGGTAATCGCAATCGGTCAGCATTGCTATGCGCAATTTCGTGAAAATCGTCACCCTCTGGCTAGGTTGGTGACTTGGTGTCACCAGTTTTTTGACATAATGGGCCTATATGGGATTGCTGCTTTTTAGATCAATCTTTGGCCTTTTATAAAGCGTCACCAGCGTTCCCAAATCCGGCATTCAGCCGTATTCAGGAGATAATTCTGCCATTGATTACTTTGCACAGGTGCATATGGTAGCGGTGACCTCCCATAGCACTGCATAAACCGGCAAAAGGTATTTCACAAGAGCTGAAGAAATTATCAGTTTCGAAACATGTATCCGAAACATACTTATTTGCGAAATTTCACGTAAATGCGTACCGGGGCAGAAGCCGAGATTTCACTTTGCCCTTGTCCTAAAACTTCTACTACCCGGGGCGAGAGCGGCTACGCTTTGGTCAAGCAGTGCCCGCAAAAAGCGAGTGCACTTTCCTAGTTAAATAGCGGTGGTTGCGAACCACATTATTGCACGAGCGCGAGCGCCAGTACAACTGCGAAATGGTACTGGGATTGTGGAACTGGAAAAGCGTGAAGTACGCACTTCGTGGCGTCAGACAAATTTTATGCTCTTGACGAAGGCTTATTGCAGCGCCTCGCGCTCGGTGCAAACATTTCCTAACATACTTTGATTACTACTGCGAAAAGCGGCACGCACCGAGTGACTTTCACATACACACCTCTGCGGCTCTATACACTGGACTGGAAGGATTAGGTGAATTTTGTTGTGCTTTCGTTAACAGTTTCTTAGATTTTCGAACCGCACACAAACTGACCGATGGCAACAGCTTTGGTCTTACGCTGTACATGGCTTAAAAGCTGAACGAAGTGCCATCATGACAAGTACGAGTACAAAAATTACAGCAAGTAGATTAGCTGGCAATGGTGGAGGGGAGGTTCTCCTCGTCGTCGCTGATGAGTCCCTCCATCCCGACGCCCGCGGAGTTGTCGGTGACGTTGAGATCCATGGCGCTGGCGTCGCTGTTGACGCTGCGCTCGTGCTCCGTCTTCCCGTCGACGCGCAGGAGGAACTCGGAGACGGCCTTGGCCATCCCGCTGATCCCCAGCGCCTTCCTGGCCCAGGCCCTGGCCTCCGCCGTGTTCCCGGCCTCCAGCTGCTGTCGGGCCAAGAACAAGTAGGCCTCGCCCAGCTCCGCCGCGAAGACACTGCGATTAACGTCCTCCTTGCCTTTGACGACCACCTCCTCGCAGGCGGCGATGTAGCGCTGGAACGCGATGGCCGCCTTCGCAGCATCGCTCTTAATCAACACCCGACCCAGCTTCCCCATGGCCCCGTCCTCCTTGTCGCCGTTCTGGTACGACTGCGAAACAGAAGCACCATATCAGTGATCTGCGTTTCGTATGGCTTCCGATGACATCATGACGGCAGGTATCTTATGTTTACACTAAATGTTAAAGTAGACTGTTCATAATCATCATACAATAAAAAATCCATGCTATTTGCAAATGAAACCGTGAAACCAATCAGAGTCACAGAAATTTACTCAATAAAAGAAGAATTTCAGCAACCTTGTCATGTACTGTAGAGTAACCCTGCACTTGACAGCTTTTTCGTACGATATGAGCTGTACGGCACTGTAGTACTGGCAAACGTTCAGCTGGCTCAGAGCCGACTTAGCTGCACTCACTCATGTGCTGCCTGCCTAGTCACAGGCAGCATGTGTGAATGGTGAATGTGCTCGTACAACGTACGTCTCTTTGAGCTGTAAAAATAGCTGTCAAGGGCAGGGTTACTCTACAGTACTCCTTTCAAAAGAAGTTAGCAAGCTAATGATTGTATAAAAATAAATGCAGTAAAACGGAAAACTAAATATCTGTAAATGTAAATTATGTAATGACTGGCGCAAAGGCGACGTAGAAATTGATGGAAAGTAACCAGGCGTACCTGCCAGTAGGCGCGAGCGGCGTCTTCCGGCTGGTTGAGCTTGACGAAGACATCCCCGAGCGCACACCAGGGCTTGGGGTCGTGGAAGGCGTTGTCGGCTGATCGCTGGAAGTACAAAATGGCCAGCGAGTACTTCTTGTCGCTCTCGTGCACCTTGCCCAGTCCGAACCAGGCCCTGTAATCGCGCGGGTCCACCTGCACGGCCCGCTGCAGGCAGGCCACCGCCCGCGGCTGGTTCTTCAGCTCCAGATACTCGTGCCCCAGGAAGAGCCAGGCCTGGGCTAAATCGGGGACGGCGCGGATCGCCAGCGTCAAGTGCTCGACGGCGCGGTCGTGCTGGTCGCGCAGACCCAGGTAGTTGCCCACCGCCACGTTCGTCTCCGGCGCCAACCGGTCAATCTCGTGCAGATCGCGCGCTAAACGCGCCAGTCGCGTCTGTCAACAGACACAATCTATACAAACGACTATTTCCAGCTATTGCTGACAAGAGAATCGGTATGAAAAAATTACGTATAAAAATCGCCAACCGCTCACACAAGAAAATAAGATGCACAAAAATTATTTGGTGTAAATTGATCGACTGAAATTGAAAACTGAAAAAATTGATAGGTGTAAATTGATAGGTGTAAATTGATAAATTAAATTAAATTAATAAATTAAATTGATAGGTGTAAATAAAAATGATAAATTAAATTGATAGGTGTAAATTGATAAATTAAATTAAATTAATAAATTAAATTGATAGGTGTAAATAAAAATGATAAATTAAATTGATAGGTGTAAACTGATAGGTGTAAATTGATAAATTAAATTCAATTAATAAATTAAATTGATAGGTGTAAATAAAAATGATAAATTAAACTGATAGGTGTAAATTGAAAGCCGAATAGTTTGCACATAAGCCGAGTCCGCCGACACATTGCCACTCTTCTACGATGCCACATCAAACGTACGATCGAATCGGTAACATGGCCGAAGATATATTAATTTTACAATGATTAACAATTTAACACACGTCGCACGCGTTACGACGGCTAAGCCGGCCAGCCGCTTTACCTTTATAAAAATCTCCACAATCTTAGAACACAACTTAAGATGTAAAAAACACGCATCTTAGCCAAAAATTATCGGTTTCCTTTGCACGGGGAAATGATCACTTGTGCTGTTTTCAATTTGCACGGCTTATTTTACCCGTAAGCTGGAGAGAACACACTGCCATTCTTCTACGATGTCACCCGAACGCTCGAATACTGCATACCTGGATTCATATTACGTATATTACTGTGGTAAGCAGTTCAGCAACACAGATTTGCGGATGTGCGGATCTCTCTGAGCAGCAATTGTATTCTATCAAGTGAGAAAAATCTGCAACCGCATAGAGCAGAAATGTATAAAAATAAAAAATAATTATAAAGAACTACAAATAAAAAATAGGTAAACGCAGAGCCAAAAATAACTATAATACCGCAATTAATATAAACTGTAATTAATCATAAATATTATATACTTGCTTGTACATACTTTTACAGGTATGTACATATGTCGGCATTTGAAGCATCATCGAACATCTTTGTACTTTACCACTCCACTACGATGTCCTTCAAAAAAAAACCAACCGGAAACGCAAGATATACTTAAAAAAATCCCGCCTCACGACGCAGTTATATTTTGACGATCCCTTTTCTCTTCAACCGGATCCCATTGAAGAATTTCATCTTTTGCCCCACCAAGAATCGTTTTGTAAAAAAGTTTAGAACTTTTTAATATCTGTATAAGAGAATGAAAAAATTATAATTAATCAAAATAATACCAATTAATTAAGCAAGCCCACCCTACTTTCCTTTTTGCGCTTCCCATAATGCTGTTTCAACTAATCACACTGCTCTTTACAATTCACGCAGTATTAAATACAAGAAAACAGATAAAAAAACATCTAAAGCAAATGACTGTGCACGTGGCGGCTATGGTATGAACCTGCTTAAAATACACGTAGAACGCTCATAATAACATTTCCGGTTACAACTCAGTGAGCTCACTACACTACGAAATCAACTGTATGATTACAGTGTTCCAGGTGTACTGGTACCCGGTTGTATGAGAGGCAAAGTAAAAATAAATCTGTAAAGTTTTGATGTTCACTATAGAAGCGCTCACTATGGGATATCAGTCATTATGCGCTTTGATTACATTTGATTATTATTTTTAGAAAACCTTTTCCGTACCTAATCGTATGAGAAAAATAAAACAGAAAAATCCCTCTGTGATATTCTTTGCGCACTGTTACTTCTGCACCGAGCTGCTTCCAAACCACGTGATTTACGGCCACAACTCACTACACTACGAAAACACCTGCATGTCACAGTATTCCTCCTTATTCTCTAATAGTTATAGAAAAATTAAAAACATACTGCTATAGATAATAAGAGTTTTACTTTTTCGGTGCGCACCTTATCGCCGCGGACGTAGAGGACGTTGGAGTAGAAGTCCATGTCGTCCAGCCGGGCCGGATACAAATGCCTGAGCTTGTCCATGAGTTTGACGGTGTCGAGGGTGTCCTTGCGGTTGTAGGCGACGCGGGCCAGTTGGGCCAGGACGGGGGGCGTGTTGGCCAGCAAGGAGCGGCGCAGGTACTTGCAGACGCCCAAGGCCTCCTCGGTCATGTTCAGCAAGTAGTAGCAACGCCCCAGGAACACGTCCCGCATCCAGTGGGGTCTCAACCGCGGCAGGATCAACTCCAGATCACGACGGGTTAAAATGCAGTCGGCCAACTCGAACCAGAAACACCACAGGCGCGGCTCATGAGAGATGGCTTCGATCAACTGCTCGCAGGCCAACGAATGCGAGCCCAACTGCCGCAGGATCACCGCGTACAAATAGCGCATCAACGGGTCCAGTCCCTGCTGCACCAGCTCCTCTTTGATCTCACCACGGAGATTCTGCAGAAAATAAAAATATTAAATCGAGATATTGATAATACTCGAAGAACAAATAATCAATAACCGTAATATCAAATGCTGCCCGGTAAATAACCAGAAAGAAATTCAACAAGATCAAAATTACAATTACATATTAACATCGTACAATTAACGATTACAGCAAAGATTACAGCAAATTACAGATTACAGATGAAAAAGATTACAGCAAATTTCTGGTATTGGACACAAATTATTTTACACGATAAAATGTAAAACGAAGAGAACTAAAAAATGCAGCAACTTCAGGAAATAACAACTCCGAATTAAAAGTAAAATGACAGGTAACAATAACAAAAAAACGAAAAAATATAGTCGCGGCGAGCCGACATCAACTAAAATTGTTATCAGTTACGAAGATAGAAACTGTATCAAGGTACACTGAAAAACCTTTACGCAGTTTAAGCAGTAAGTTTTTTTTGTCAAAAACAAAATAACGAACAAAAAGTATAAACCAAATTTGTGGTCGGTTGCTTTTATTTCCCAAACTGTTCTGGCCAAAGGTAGAGCACACTAATAGAAGCCATCTTACTACGAAACACCACTAAGTCGAACAGAGAACATTTTCATAAATATCTCAATACATAATCAATAGAAAAGAGCGGCATCCATACCTGCAAATAGAGCACATCGGTCTCGGCGACGGATTCAAATTCCAGTGGATGCGGGGCATTCTGGAGACACTGCGCCTGGCCGTGGAGGTACTTGTTGAAGAAGTAGAAGAAGCGGAGCACGGGGAAGTGGCGGAACTCGCTCCTGCGCATCCGGGCGTATCCCATCGCTTCCCCGTACTGGAAGCGGCGCATGGCGTTGAGGATGGCGGGGTAGGCGGAGTGCTTGGCGCAGAACTTGGCCTCCCCCTGCTCGCCCTCCACGGGGCTCTTGATCCCCGCCAGCACCCCGGGGCGCAGCTTGATCTTGTGGAGGGGCCGCAGCATCTCCGCCGCCCACTTCTGCGACTGCAGCAGGCACAGGCGGGAGGAGCGCCGCATGGAGTGCAACAGGTCCGTCTTGATGTCGGCGTAGGAGGACTGCCGCAGGATTAAAGGCAGCGGGATCTCCTCCACGGAGGGGTCCCCGGGGGAGGGCAGACTCAGGCTCAGGGAGGAGGCCGAAAGGGACTTCTTCTTGCTCATCTTGGAGTCGGAGGAGCGATCAGAAGGGAAAACACCGCGTGCGACAGATAAAAAAATGGGTTGCACAGTTAACGTTCCAGGGGAAGATCAGGAGGTCTCCATGTTATGACTGCTGTCAGACGAAAATCAGAACTCGCTCCACAAATGAGAGCTGTGTTCAAAGACTAAACATTCGGAAAAGTGAAGAAGCTGGAAAAATTACTAGAAACCTAGTCAAAAACGGAAAATCGAGAAACACAAACTGTTAATCCAGGCAGCGGCTTCTAGGCATCATGCGTGCGATTCGGTTTTATTTCCAAATCACCTACCAGTCAAAGTCACAAACACCAGCTTCGCTTGCTAAATGGCAGCAGCACTGGCAAGTGGCTGCTATGTGTAATGACAACTGTAATCTGCGTCAAGGGGCGGTGGGCAACAGCGCGCACATTGACCGCTCAGATTGGGCGATTACTTACCGCTTACCGGAAGTTGTGTGTGCAGTGATGACTGCAAAACTTCCTGTCAAATTTCTCTCTCTCGTCTTGTCGCTTCAATGCCGTTGAGTTTTTCCAACTTTTATTGCGTTGTTTATTTGGTAGCTCTGTTCTTCCGCTTCTTTGATATCCAGTGCAAATAATTTTACAGCGGGATAAGCTATAAAAGGGGCTGCTTGCAACAGCATCTTGGCATCTAGTTGCGCACATTTTGACTGGCAAACTACGGAGTGCTGCGGGCCTGCATTCACGTTCTGTCACGCATAGCAGTCGCCTATTCTTTGTTCCCTGTGAAGATTCCCCGTCCAATTTCCATCATGGCGACGAACGAGAAGGACCGCGAGAAGTCCCGCTACCAGACGCCGTTGACGCAGCGCTACGCCAGCGAGGAGATGTGCTACAACTTCAGCGAGCGCAAACGCATCATCACCTGGAGGAAACTCTGGGTCTGGCTGGCCAAATCGCAACAGGTGCGCATAACAGTCTCTGCTGGTGTGCTGTTTTCCCGTTTACCCGGGATACTGTCACTGACACGTACAGTCAGTCGTATCAGTCGCTGACTCGCTGATATTTTATTATTTAATAATAAAAAAACTAATAATTATTCACAACTGTATTAATTGAATAACCATAAAAAAATTAATAATTATTATTAATTTTATTCTTTGAATTGTTATTGTGTTTTTATTTTACCGATTTTATTTTCGGCATTTTCTTAGTAATTATTTTATTTCTCATTCGCCAATGATTCGATTGTGTTTATTGGGTGATACTGTAATTCCGATCAATGGAAGTATGGAAAATTCCGATCAATGAAAAGCCTAATTTTTTATTGTAAAAAGCCATTATCAAGCATGCGAGCGAAGTGAGCTTGCGTTTTATGTAATTTATAAATATAATATTGAAACATTTAAAAAAGGCTGCGAGTTCTTGTACAACTGATCGTTTAGCAGAAAACATTAAATCAGATTACATGCCAACAAACGAATCGTTTGAGCACGCCGTTAGTCATCGCCACTGCACTACGTTAATCAGTATATTGGTACACAGTTCCAGACTTGCAGTTGCAGTAATACAGTGAAACAGTATTTGTTTAAGATTTGTCATCAGAAAACATTAACGAATGTAGCTGATTTTATATTTTCTTGTTAGTTTTTCTATGAAGAAACTGCCGATTTTTATTTTTCCTGCGAGTTTAAGTTTCTGGATACGTCAAGTGGGTTGATGTGTAGTGTACAATGCACATTTCCCCATTACTTACTCACGTTAAGATTACCGGAAAGCGTAGAACAGTGGCAGTCTGGCCATTCGGTTGAGAGTGGTACTGCTCTTGTTAAACGGATAATTATTTGGAATTTTCCCCCCATTTTTAATAAATTTTCTCGTTTAATAAATTTCTTATATTATTTTGGTTGTATGTGGTGGATATTTTATTTATTAAAATGACTTTTTCTCAATTTTATTTGGGATTTTTATAGAAACTGGGTTTGAATATTCAAGAAGACCAGATTGCGGAAATGGAGGCGAATGTGGAGCGTATTGACTGGGATTTCGCGTTGGCGGAGGAGAAGCGGGTGCGGCACGATGTGATGGCGCATGTGCGGACGTTCGGGAAAGAGTGCAAGAAGGCCGAGGGCATCATCCATCTGGGCGCCACTTCCTGCTACGTGACGGACAATACCGTACGATTTCCACCATAACAATCGAGACTTCCTCCGCCATTTCCGCAGTCAGTGTGCACTGATTTTACCGGTGTTTTTATTTTGCCAGGATCTTATTTGTATACGCGATGGACTGCAAATACTCTTGCCGAAGGTAAATTACTTTTCCATTAACAGTTTGAGATTGTGCAATTTGTTGGCGGAAATTGCGTGCATTTGGTGAATTATTTCTTGTATTTAGCTGGCACGGTGCATTGATCGTCTGAGCAAATTTGCGGATGATTACAAGGCGTTGCCGACGCTGGGATATACACATCTGCAGTAAGTTGCTAATTTTGTATCTATTTCTAAACTATTAAAAGATGGCAGGAAAATTATTGCAATTTTTACGGTTTTTAATAAAAACTGTTAAGTACATGTTTTGCGTGGTAAATCTCAAAAGCGTTTAAGGGATTTGGCCCGGTACATAGCACCAAATTTGTATACATCCACTGCAACTTTCGCTGTCGCGCACTCCCAAACACTTCTTTTGCATGGCTTTATGGAAATATGTAGCCAAAGGATTCTTATGCACAGGCGAAAAAACCGTTCCTGCGCGCAACATCCGGTTCGGAAGTTATTAGTGAAATAAAATTCCAAAAGTTTAAACGCGCGGAGGTGTACCAAAAGTCTCATTATGAACCGATGCTCTTCAAATTTTGCACAAAAAGGCACATTACTATGAAGAGCGTTTTGGTACCGAACCACCTTTCTACCATTTTTTTCAAATTTTAAATTAATTTTTAAAAGTTTTGAAATTCATTTTAAAATTTGAAAAAAATGGTAGAAAGCTGATTCGGTACCAAAACGATCTTCATAGTAATGTGTGTTTTCGTGCAAAATTTGAAGAGCATGGGTTCATAACGAGACTTTTGGTACACCTCCGCGCGTTTAAGCTTTTGCAATTTTATTTCATTAATAACTCCCGAACCGGATGTTGCGCGCACAAACGGTTTTCTCGCCTATATATACGAATCCTTTGGCTACAAAATATCATAAAGCAATGCAAAAAAGTGTTTAGGAGTGCGCGAGAGAGAAAGTTCCCGTGTATGTTCCCCAATTTGGTACTATGTACCGGGCCAAATCCCTTAATTAAAAACTTAATATGGGGATTTTTAAACGCATCAAGCATGTGTGGAAGCGATTGAAATTAAATCACTAAATTCTGAATAAAGCGAAATTATTTTTATTTTTCGGTGAATGAAATTCATAATAATTTATTTATTTGTAACCTCACTGAGGATTCACGGTAGCGTAAATCCAGTTAAATATTAAAAGAAAGCATAGTTTTAAAATTTCGCCTTTGAAATGAATGAACTTATGAAAGTGAAAATAGTGTACTTATTTTTAATCTTAAATATATGAACGCGTAACAAATCAAATTAATAAAATTTAAATCAGTTACTCCTTGTGAACATTATACACAGTTGTTTGTAATGTCTTGTGTGTGAACGTAGTGTAAGGGCAATTTGCTGTGTTTGACGTAATATCTCCCGTCATGAAAGGATTTCCTTATGTCATGTCTTTGATGAATTAATAATTACGTAATAAAAGCCAGTGTATTTTTAATTTTACTAGGAAGCGATTGGAAGCTTTGTAGGTTTCTTAGCCTCGTTGTCATTGTATGGAAGCGTAGCAAAATACATCAATAAAAAAATAAAAACAATTGTATTCATTTGTAATATTCTTGTGAACTTATGAAATAAATAAAAATGATTCTAATGCATGTAGAAATCTGTAATAATTGATAAAATCCGATAAAATACTGTTTTTCTGAGCAGTTGAAGGATCGTTCCTGTCATGACTCTTGACACTGAACGTAGTGCAAGGGTATGTTACAGAATCGTATCGTCCGAATTTGATGTAATACTTCTTGAAGATGAAGGAGAATTTCGTCCGTGTTCGGTTGTTTTACGGTAATCGCAAGTTTTTATTTTTGCATTTGTAGACCAGCGCAGTTGACAACGGTCGGAAAGCGGGCGGCGCTGTGGACGGGGGATCTGGTGATGGATCTGCACAATTTCGAGCGCATCAAGACCGATCTGCGCTTCCGCGGCGTCAAGGGCACCACCGGGACGCAGGCCAGCTTCGTGCAGTTGTTCGGCAACGCCGACAAGGCCCACATGCTGGATGTCCTCGTCTGCGATTATGCCGGCTTCAAGAAGTCAGCGCACACACCGAATTTGACATTTAATTCCATTTTCATTGATATATTTATTTTTTTTTGTTATTTATCTTTTATTGCGGAGTTCGCACCGAATTTTGCATTTTTTATTCATATTTATTTTTATTATTGATTGCTATTTATTTTTTATTGTGAAGTTCGACCGGCGTGCCGTAATTTTTTTGGCCATTTTTTTTCAGGTGCTTCATCATTTGCGGCCAGACATACACGCGTAAACAGGATTTGGAGGTTTTATCGGTGTTGGCTGGACTCGGAGCGTCCGTTCATAAGGTAGAGTAATGATCAAATCATGCATGCACGTTGGAGGTCAACTTTGATTTTTGTATATGTACCATAATTTCGCAGTGGACACAGAAATGTTAAACTAGTTCGATAAATTTCCTATTTTTCTCTTCAGTATAATTTGTAATAATTGTTAATAATGATTTTATAATAATAATAATTATTATAAAATTATTATTATTATTATAAATAATTATTATAAAATTTTTAATAATAATTATTATTATTAATTATTAATAATACCAATAATTATTATTAATTTTTATTAATTATTGTATTAATTATTATGTAGCGGTAACAATGTATAGATAACTAAGATAAGCGGTCTTCAAAGCAGTGCGGACAGATTGTTATTGACTGTCGGTGCACATATATTTATGTATTTTTGCTGTTAAAATATTTCTGAAGGATTTTGTAGTGTAGCGTCTGTATTCCTGCATTATTATTGTAAAGCAGTTAATATTGTGTAAAAAAACTGTCTTTCATTGCCTTTGCGGATATGTTTTATTTTAAAATGCAGTACTTGTTTCTGTGATATTATGAAGCGATAGAATGTAGATCGTTTCACGGTTTCACTTACGAACAGTATGTAAAAAATTGATATTTTCTGTATTCGCGCTGTAATAATTTAAATTTTGGCGCACGATCTCACCATGACGCGAGGATTTAATAAGCCATTACTCTACGATAGTCGGTATAGGGATTTAGCCAGTGTAGACTGTAAATTGCGCTGTTAGTAACAAAAATCTACTGCGATCGTATGTAGATCTGCACGGACATCCGGCTGCTGGCCAGTTTCAAGGAGGTGGAGGAGCCCTTCGAGGCGGAGCAGATCGGGTCGAGCGCGATGCCCTACAAGCGCAATCCGATGCGCAGCGAGCGCTGCTGCAGTCTGGCGCGCCATCTCATGACGCTGGTTAATGATGCGCTGCAGACGCACTCCGTGCAGTGGATGGAGCGGACGCTGGACGACAGTGCTAACCGGTAAGCACGCGCTTGTCATCCTGACAAAGGTCACACTGTATCCGTGCGATTTAACTACTTTTCCATTAACATTACGCTATTCAGTCGGAAAAATCGATTTTATTCCGTTTAAAACGAATAGAAAAACTTTCTTGGCGCTGCTGAAAAAACAGTCTCTTTTTCGGTATTTTTAACACCAGTTAAATTGTACCATACCCGTTAATTTAAAGAACGTTCTGTGTTTTTCTAGTTCTACTGGTTCTATCTGTAATAAGTTATAGCAGTTACGAATTTACGTTCAGTAAACAACCAACATTAAAATGGTTTCTTATCTGTATAATAATAGGAAGAAAATTCTGATTTAATTAATTTTAATTGGGATCAGTAAATAAAATGGTTGTGTTGATCTTTAATGACTTGATTTGGATAGTTTTGGTGCCATTTATTGCTGACATTTTATTATTAATCACATTGAATAAATGAGCAAAATATTTTTTCCTTCCTTTTCACAGGCGTATCTGTATTCCGGAGGCGTTCCTGATCGCGGACGCTCTGTTGATCACGCTGCAGAACATCTGCGAAGGCTTGGTGGTCTATCCGAACGTGATCAGTCGGCGTATCGGCGCGGAACTGCCCTTCATGGCCACGGAGAACATCATCATGGCCGTCGTGAAGGCCGGCGGGAATCGACAGGAGTGCCATGAAAAACTGCGCGAGCTGTCGCAACTAGCCGGGAATGTTGTCAAGCAGGAGGGAAAGGACAATGATTTGCTGCAGCGCATCCGCAGCGATGCTTATTTCGCCAAGATCCACAACGAGCTCGACGAACTGATGAATCCCACGCTCTTCACCGGACGCGCTGATAAACAGGTACGACGTAGACAGCCAAAGGCATTGTAAAATTTTCTGTTTATTTTTATGTTTTTAAAATTGAATTAATGGTAGAACAGTAGTCAGCAAACTTAGTATTCTTCTCTCGGGTAAAAATGTGAGTTGGTGTTCTTTCGTTTCCTTTACTGTGGGAAAACAACCAGTCGTTTGTTTTTGTTCACCCAACTGGCCACTGTACTACGTTACGTCGGTTACGACGTTGACGTTATCAGGGGATTTACTTGATGACATTTGCGCCTTACCGGGTTATTCCTTTATCGAAAAAAATTATTATTCCACTCGGGTTACTTTTGTCGATAATGAAAAATTTTGAGGAATAATCGGAAGAAAAATTTTCATAGCAGAATCTCCCGCAGTCTACTGCGGACAATAAATAGAGTTATTTTATATTTTGAGATGTGTTGTATAAAAATAGGGGAGTTTAGTGTAGTGGCTTGCTGTGACCCAGAATATCAACCCTGCAGTAATTGTATACAGTAACAAATGACAAACGAAACGCACCATTTACTAGTAGGTTTACTTGTAAAATTTCACTTTTTTATTTGGTTATTTTTCGGCTCACAGGAAGCTCTTTAGTGCAGAAGGGGGAACTGTGTTCCATTAATGCGAAATTTATTTTCATCCAATTTTTGTCTGGTGTTTAAGTGTAGAAAAACAGTTCATTAATGTAATTTTTGATGTATCGGAACGTTGATGCCGGTTTGATCCACGATTTTCAGGTTGGAAAATGTTCCGATTTTATACAATACTGTTCATGTACAAAATCTCAGCACGCGGTTATGCTTCGGCGTAGGTGACCGAGTTTTTGAATATGGAAGTGCGTCCGGCTCTGAGTGGCTACGCGCGGGAGCTGGCCGGCATCGCGACGGTGGAATTGTAATGCGCTGAATCAGCCACTTCATCCCGACGCTTGGCATCAGTATTTTTAAATCGCCATATTTATTAGCAATAAATTAAAATAATAATCCTTACTTGGCATTGTGATGCTTCGGTTTGTCTTCTGCCTGTCTTAATGTGATCGCTGCTTTGGCTGGTTATAATTCAGCGTTTATTTTACTGTTTTACCTACCTACTTTCAATTAAATAAAAATTATTTGCTTAATTTTAGATATTTTTTCCGAGTTTTACTGTATTTATTTAATTCACAAATATGTTTCCAAATATTTTCGTCTGAGTGTTTGCTTAGTAACGTGGTCGGGACAGCATGAAAACTGTACTAATTTACCAGCGCAGTGATTTGTATTACTTTCTTCCTGAATCTTAATAAATCCTGGTATGTGTATTTGTTTTATTAAATATCGTAATTTTCCCAGTAAAATATATTCTTCGCTTTGTGGTACTCAGTGAGAAGGATTTTGCTGTTGTAAAAAATTATTTACCGTGACAATTATTGAAAAAATTCCGGGGAATCATATAATGAAGCTGTACATGTACGAAGTGACGGTGTCGCCGCGGGCGCGCCGTCTGTACCGCAGCCTGGTGTACTCGCTGACATCCTGCAGTATCCCGCGTTCCTGTGCTACTCTCTTCAAGCTGGACCGCCAGATCACCGCGCTCGTCTTCTTCCTCCTCATCAGCATCACGCAGTTGGTGATCAACCCGCCGTACCACCTCCACCCGCTGAAACTGTCCGCCGAGGGCGGGCGACCGGCGCCGCCGCTCCCGCGGACCCCGCCGACCTTCCCGGTGGTCAGTGCGGCGCGGAGTGTCGTGGATTCGGTGGCGTGGGACTGCCGGTGCTCGCAGCTGGCCTACTGGTGCTGTAATGCGTCGCGCGCCGAGGAGACGGCGGTCAGGGAGAAATTGAAGTTTTTATGAGATGATTCGACGTATGAAACTGTTGTTTTACCGGTAGGATGTGGTCAGAGGTGTGGTTGGGAAGGGGTTGATTGGAAATATATTTTTGAAGTTTTTTTTTATTTTTGACGGGGTTTCTTGTGTGTTGTGGGTGGTTTATTACTGTGTCGGAGTGTCTATGTACAGCGAATGCAATAGAGATGCCAACGTCGGCAATCGTAGAACAGTACCATCGTAACCTGATCGCCCAAAGCAGTACGGAATTTAACGATGCATGATCAGGATAACACGTCGCGTGTATGTACTGTACATACTAGTACTTTTACACACTGATTATTTTCTGTTTGTTTTTTATACGGTCGTCTGTTTTTAAATGCGCCAGATAGTTTCGGGCAGTTTGATTTTTATTTTTCACCAGGCAGTTTATTTAACCGTTTTCTTTATGACCTGATTTATTCCTGGAATTCAGTTACTACTATAAACAAGTTAACAACTAATAAATGCTCGTACGGATATTCGTTTCCACGAATATCCGTAAGTAGTTTCGTTTGGTGCTTTAATCGAAATAAATTCCAGGTTTTCTTAAAATACCGAAGTTACTTTAATATTTATTGGTCTGGCCGATTGTAGTTGAAATAATTCGACAACTAAGTTTGACAGTAACTTGATAATGTTAAATCGGACCACTCAAGGTAATAATTGTTAAAACCAAGTTAATAGTTTTTAGTAAAGGAAAAATTAATACATTGTAATATGCATTATTAAATTTAATTAATATTTTTTTAGAATGCGCGGTTTTCTTAATTTCTTAAGTTACATAGTACGCCGCCGTAAAATTTAGTGGAGCGGTATCTGAGTGGCGCTCTACATGTACTCTGTATGTACAGTACTACGTGCGCTTTTAAATATTTCCTAAAGGTCATCTGCGCATTAATATCTGTTAGGGCATATTACACGATATCGAATCACAGCATGTTGTTATGTTCTTGTACCATGCGCTCGCGTTCTTCATTAACACACGGTATAGACGCCTGGACACCCAGGACATGATTCCCATCCCCGTTCGCCGACGCCGCAATCATATTGGCGTTAACATAGCGCGGCAACGAGTGCGTGACATGCACATCATGATTCTCGATAATCAGTTTCTGGTTCATCCGGTACCATTTGCGCAGCAGTGGCGTGATGGTGAAGACCAGCTCCATGCCGGCGATGAAGAGGAAGAGGACGTCGATGATACTGTACAGGATGAAGGCCGGCACCATGAAGTCGCCCAGCGCCGAGACCGTGGGGGAGGCGACACCGGCGTCCGGGGGAGCGGCCGCTTCGTGGGCGCGGTAGTTGACCATGACGGCTTCGGCGGCCGGGTGGACGAGGCGCTGGCCCAATCCCAGCCACGTCATCCAGACGATGGAGCCGACGATGAAGGCCACGGAGAAGAAGAAGATGACCATGTGGATCCAGTCGATGGAGTCCGTCGCCGGCATACGCCACTACAATATGACATGCAGCACGTAATTAAGCGAGGTTATTTCTGATACACCGGAATGCCTTTATACTTTTTGGAATTGTCTAACAGCTATAACTCCCGAACCGGATGTTGCGCGCACAAAAGATTTTTTTACGAATGTGTGTACAAATCATCTGGCTATAGAATGTCATAAAACAAAGCAAAGAAGTGCTTGGGAGTGCGCGAAAGGGAAGTTTTCGCCCGTGTACAAGAATTTGGTACTATATGTACCAGGCCACTTCCCTTAACGATGTTGTTAACATTCCGGACATTGTTTTAATGTGGATTCGCGTACCGGACACCAGAGACACGGTATCCTCTGTGTTGTTCCACATGACAAAAACTTTTAAAAATTGGTTACATGATAAGCAGTGTTTTTATACAAGTTTCTGCATGCGAATAATAAAAAATTATCAAGTTTTTTAATGTAGAACAGCGCAAAGAATACCGTGTCTGTAGGGTCCGGTACGCCAGTCCCATATTGTGAAAGTGTCCAGAGTGCGATCAACGGTGCAATATTCACATGGAATCAGCACTTGCTGTACATACAATATACTTGTTTATTAGACGTTGATACAATATAATTTAAATACGCCATAAGCACATATTATGCGCTTATGACTTATCACATTTTGTTAATCTTTTATTTATCTGATGATGCAGTTGTTAAGTAATAAATTAATAATAAGGCCCGTCGCAGTTTAGCGTTGCTTTATGTTCCGCGTTATATGTGATACATTAATTTTTGGCAATAAAACTATAAAATGCCTGTTATTGTATTTTATCGTATTTTTTTGCATGTGCAAAAAAATTATGCTTGTGATAGCATGTCTACTGCGAATAGTAGCCAATCGTAGTGTGACGGCTCTATCATTTCTAAATACTTGAACTTGTCTTGAAGTGCCGTTTAATTTGAATAACTTTACGAGCCAAATATACATTATTTACACCGTACATATAAAAATTTGGAGTCTTTCAATAGTAATATTTTTTTTCCATATTGCCATGTTCGTCACTGATTTTTCTATATTAATATTTGGTGTGATTAACTGGTAGGAATTGTAATCTGGTTTCTATAATTCACCTGTGTACAACGCTTGAGGCCGCTCCGTTTGATACGGTAGCGCGTCTTGCACAGTTCACACACGAAGGAACCGCTCTGCCGCACCCACTGCAGGAGACACTCGGGATGACAGAAACGGATACTGCCATCGCAGGCGCACGGATGCACCAGGATCGGGGTGTTGCCGGTGGCCAGATTATCCCCGGATGCTGTGAATAACAGAAAAACGGTTGACGAAATATACCGCGCGCCGCAAAGGTCACGTCTACGTTCTGCACATTCCTTTATATGCAGTCCACGTAATAATTATTTTACGTGTCAGGATACAGAATTATCGCAACAAAAAAAAGACAGAAAAAAGTCACATAGCCTTATTTACAACAAAATTAAAATAATGGCATTTCATAACGCACCTGTGAATAAAATCGAGAATTGTTAACAGCGCAGTATTCCTTTATTGGTCAGCCTCGATCCTTTAGTATTAGAAATGTGTAGGATTGATTATTTAACACACGAATTGTCGAGTTAACGCTTCGTAAATTATTATATATTAAAGGTCAAGTTAAATGCGCTTTACATAAAGTTTGCTTTAATTTGTCCAGCGCTGCTTTATCTGTTTTAATTTCGAGCTATGGGAATAAAAAAATAACAAAATGCTTGAGTTATAAGAAACTGCAGTTAAGATCTGTAGATTAACGCCGAATTACCGGAGAAGCATATCCGGCACTGCGCCGCCGACATCCGCGACGTATTGGACGTCAGCCGATTCCGCGTGGAATGGCAGTCGCCCGCGGCGGCCTCCGGCAGATCCAGCAGCGGATCATCATCGAGGACGTCCTTGTGCTTCCCGCCCTGCAGCGCTATCAACAGTGAGGGGTTCCCGGACGGCGTGACCTTTTCCGGGATCTTCGTCCCACTGAACACCACGCTCTCGCGGGTCTTGGGCGCCGCGGGACCGTGCAGACTATGCTGCGAGGCAGCCGACGGGGGCAGCGCGGGGGCCAGGGGGGCCACGGGCACGGGAATGAGAGGCTGGTGCGCGAGGGCGGTGATGTCGTAGCTGGAGGTTAGATACTGCAGATCGGGATAGACATTACCGGGTACATTCACCGCACTCCCCTTGGACATGCTCCACAACGAGCATAGGGGGGAGGGTCAGGGTGTGCAGGTGCAGTAGACTACAGTGTCAACATTCAGTACGTGATGGTGAATAATATCGGGATTATGTGATAATCATAATTATATTTTTTTTCTGGTGGATGTGTCAATACTTAACGTTTGTACCGATGTACGTCGATTTGTTCGCAGTTTCCTTGTTGCCCTGGTGTTAATGTTAAGCAGGTGAGATGCCGTGATGTTGTGCTTATTGAACGTCGTTATTATAAGCGTATCTTTTAATGATGTCATAATATTTTTTAACCGCAATAATAATATTAACTAATAAAATGTTAAGTATTTATTTCATATACTGGACATTGCATAATTATGGTTCGACGATTTTCGCAAGATCCGGATACTTTCACAATATGAATTTGTGTACCGGACGCCGGAGGTAGAAGCTTGTCCCGTAATTTCCGCAACGACAAATGTAAATTTACGGGTTATACGCCAATTTCCTTACCATGTACAATACACGTACGCTACATGCATTTGGCAGCAAATACCACTCAAAAATTGCTTAAACGATTAATTGCTTGTTTCTACACAAGCATCTATATATGAGATTAAAAACATTTATCAAGTTTTCTAATGTGGAAGGATGCAGAGAATGCCGTATTCACGGGTTATCTAATGTAGGTAGAAGCAGTCATGTAAAGGTATGTACTTACACATCAACTAAGTACATATTTAAGTTCTCTGTGAACGATTGCCACTATACACTACCTGTCTACGTCTACTAATTAATAACTGACAGAAAATTTAACCTGCACTTCCGAATTTATCGGCCTTTTTTTGTAAAATATACATTAAATATACAATACTGTAAATATACGAGGACCATGAAAGATACCTCATCCCGATCGAATAACTGCCGATATGAGAGCCACAAATTTGTGATTGCTGAATTGTCCAACGGATGCTACTTATATACCAAGCCACCAGCCACAACTAACAGTTAGTACGAGTACCCCATGCAGAAATGTTAATTGTTAAGTGTACGTGTGCAACGTACATTAACACACGTACGTTAATTAACAACTACTGTAATAAATCTTGCGTACAAAACTAGGTGCCAAGAAACACCCGAAACATATCAGCTTCACGGACATTTGTTGCAAACTCGTGTCCATTTTCTCTAATCCAAAATAACGTTACATAGACATTCGCAATACATATAAAATGTATATCCCGAAGCATAACGATTTGCAAGTACAGTATCTGGTTTATAACCGATGCAGTCCTTTAGGAACCACTGATATTCCTGGCCGAAAAAAAGTACGGTCGCATACCTGTCCCGGAATCAATATCAGTCGGATGGATGAAGCGACTAATCCGTGCACTCCGTGTTCTGCGGCAGCGGTTTCCGGTTGTGACGTCACGCCGCACTTCCGGTGAGCGGATTAAAACGCCCGGTAAGCTAGCGCCACCGCCGACGCGGAGCGGCTGGCGTCTGCGCTATTGGCGACCGCCCCCCGGATGCCGGCTGCACTTAGCTTTACACCAAAGCAATCTCACTTTCTGTTCCTTGCGAATCTGTTGTTTGTGTACAAGGTACAGTACTTTTTCAGTTTTCTGACTTTGAAACTTCGTACTTTTCGGTAGTAAATTTTGGATTTATTCGCTTTGCTGCATGTTGATAGTGTTGAGAACGGCTCTTTTTTCTCGGAGCGATTCCAGTCACGTCAATCACGTTGTGTACACAATCAGCAAGGGTACTGGAAAGTGGAAGGTTCTGCAGCTCTGATTTTCGTCTGACAGCAGTCATAACATGGAGACCTCCTGATCTTCCCCTGGAACGTTAACTGTGCAACCCATTTTTTTATCTGTCGCACGCGGTGTTTTCCCTTCTGATCGCTCCTCCGACTCCAAGATGAGCAAGAAGAAGTCCCTTTCGGCCTCCTCCCTGAGCCTGAGTCTGCCCTCCCCCGGGGACCCCTCCGTGGAGGAGATCCCGCTGCCTTTAATCCTGCGGCAGTCCTCCTACGCCGACATCAAGACGGACCTGTTGCACTCCATGCGGCGCTCCTCCCGCCTGTGCCTGCTGCAGTCGCAGAAGTGGGCGGCGGAGATGCTGCGGCCCCTCCACAAGATCAAGCTGCGCCCCGGGGTGCTGGCGGGGATCAAGAGCCCCGTGGAGGGCGAGCAGGGGGAGGCCAAGTTCTGCGCCAAGCACTCCGCCTACCCCGCCATCCTCAACGCCATGCGCCGCTTCCAGTACGGGGAAGCGATGGGATACGCCCGGATGCGCAGGAGCGAGTTCCGCCACTTCCCCGTGCTCCGCTTCTTCTACTTCTTCAACAAGTACCTCCACGGCCAGGCGCAGTGGCTCCAGAATGCCCCGCATCCCCTCGAATTTGAATCCGTCGCCGAGACCGATGTGCTGTATTTGCAGGTCGGTTGCCTTTTTGTGATTGTGTACTAATATAATTAGACGGAGAGTTTCGTAGTGGGATGGCTTATTAGTTGCCCCTCTCGGGTTTGAAGAAAAGCCTTTAACTGAAATTGAATTATGTATTAATTGTAACGAAATGGAATTTTGGCGTTTTTTAAAAAATTTATTCATCTTTAATAGTTGAAAATATCCTACATTTACCGATTATCCTCTAAATGCGTCAGCATGATTTTATATTTGCTGTGATAATTTTCAACTGTTAATTTTCTTAGCGTTGGTTGTTTGTTTTTCCAAATATTTGACATTTTTTTTGGATTTTTCAGCTCTCGTGCTTGTACTTTACGTACTAATGCAAATTTGTTTTTAATTTTTTTCGATATTTCTGGTTGGCGTTTGCATGGTTTTCTTCCAAATCGATGTACTTGAGTAGTTCGATGTACAGAGTACTTTATTTCCTGGTGGCTGCTTTTTTGTTCTGGCGATAAATTTTCCGTCAGTCATTCATACTGTTGTATTTCGTTTTTTATTACGTTGTTATTTTCCTAATTTTTTTATTTCGTTAAACCAGTAACCATATTATGGTCATTAATCGGCATACTTTAGTGGAATTTCGTAGTAAAATGGCTTTCCTCGCACGGGTGTTATTTTGTATAGCAACTCTGAAGAAACGTGCGGAAGATGAGAAACGAATAACAGATTAATTTTTCTGGGGAAAGCCGTAGGCATCATTTGGCAGTTTTTATGTAAGCAGATTGTGAATTATGAAATTAATTAGTAGTTAACGTATTTACGCAATTAGCAAATTGTGAATAAACAATTGCAAATCATGAAAAATCCACCGTGTGCTTTTTCGGGGTGATTTAGTCCGATCGTTTATTTAAAATCACGTGAAAATATTAGCAATATAATTAGCAATAGAAATCGATTTTCGCAGAATCTCCGTGGTGAGATCAAAGAAGAGCTGGTGCAGCGCGGACTGGACCCGTTGATGCGGTATTTATACGCGGTGATCCTGCGGCAGTTGGGCTCGCATTCCTTGGCCTGTGAGCAGTTGATGGAGGCCATCTCTCATGAGCCGCGCCTGTGGTGCTTCTGGTTCGAACTGGCCGACTGCATTTTGACGCGGCGCGATCTGGAATTAATCCTGCCGCGGTTGAGACCCCACTGGATGCGGGACCTGTTCCTGGGGCGTTGCTACTACTTGCTGAACATGACCGAGGAGGCCCTGGGCGTCTGCAAGTACCTGCGCCGCTCCTTGCTGGCCAACACGCCCCCCGTCCTGGCCCAACTGGCCCGCGTCGCCTACAACCGCAAGGACACCCTCGACACCGTCAAACTCATGGACAAGCTCCGGCATTTGTATCCGGCCCGGCTGGACGACATGGACTTCTACTCCAACGTACTATACGTTCGTGGCGACAAGGTATGTTTGTTTAATTCCTGAATAAGAATTTTATCGAATCTGCTTTCAAAGTTGACGTTTTTAATAATAACAATTATTAATAATAATGTACTCCGACGTCCGCGGCGATAAGGTGCGTTCATTTAATTCTTGAATAATTAAGAATTACGGTATCTCTAAATTTAATTTTAAAGATAAATAATATAGTAATAGCAATAACAATCGTTAATAACGTACTCAAACGTCCGCGGCGACAAGGTGCGTTTATTTAATACCTACCCGTGAATAAATAAGAATTATATCAAATCTAATCTTAAAGTTAGTGTTTTAAAATGAAAATTTCATTTTATTTATTTCATTTTATTTGTTATTTAATAACAGTTAATAATATACTCCAACGTCCTTCTACGTCCACGGCGATAAGGTGCGCACTGTTTTTAAAATTTAAGACTGTTATTATCTATAGCACTATGTTTTTTTAATTTTTGTTATTTTGTGCTATTTTTTGAATAATATAATTTTAGTTTATACTACGAGTATGCTTTTAAGATTATTAAAAAACAATTATTAAACCAAATCGTATTATGTTACGAATTATCTAACAGCATAAAATAAATATGGTAAGAGTATTTGGTATGCGCGGTTTAATATGGCACGACTTGTACGTTCGACTTAATTTTAAATGAATACGAATTAATTCGTGGTCGGTGCGCGCGGCGAAAGGGTACGGAAAGAATTGTTTTAAAAAGGCTACTAATGAAAATTATAGTTGTAATAATTTGATCATAGTTAAAGTGAACACTGGAAATTGAGCAGCTGTACGTTGCACTTTGCTTATCATACAACTATTGGAGAATAAGGAGGAATACGGTGACATGCAGGTGTTTTCGTAGTGTAGTGAGTTGTGGCTGTAAGTCACGTGGTTTTGAAAGCAGCTCGGTGCAGACGTAACAGTGCGCAAAGTCACACTACACGGGGATTTTATGTTTTATTTTTCTCATACTGTGGTAAATCGCAGTGAGATTACGATGGAGAGCACTAAAAAAGCGAAATGAACGAATTAAGTTATTAACGGACTAGGAAATGGCAGTGATGATACTTGATAATATTAAATCGTAAATAAAAAAAACAAACATAAAAATAATATAATAATGTCCGCGCTGACAAGTACCGTTATTAAATAACGGTTTAATTCTTGAATAAATTTCATTGAGTTTTATTAGCCCATTAAGCCAGTCACGTTTTTATTTAAGAATTTTATTTAAGAAATGCACTGCGAAGTATACGTATTTGAAGTCCGTATAGTTTGTCTTAAACCAGCAACCATTCTGT